AAACTTATAACATGAAAGATGTCAAGCATCGAGCCACGATTCCATACATATAAAAAACTCAACTTAACTCTCAGAAATGAGAGAGAATTTCTCCATCCCTAATTCTTAACCTAAGTTTTTGTCAATGTTCAGGTCTTAAATTCTCTCAGCATATGCAATATAAATGGAAAGTGAGGATAGGTATAGCTTCAGGGCCATGAATAGAACATTTTTCATTCATAAACTTAAAGCTAACTCTTCCTAGATTGAGAGATAGAAGTCCATGAACTTACCTGTTCAGCTTGGATCGTGTCTAGCAATGGAGGCACTTTCAAGGCAAGGTGATGATTGGTACAGCTTGCTTGAAGTCTAGGGATGCTATTCCAACCTTTAGCTTGCTTTGAAACCAAGTGAATCAAGCTATGGCAATCAACCTGCAAAACAGAAAAAGTGAAAATGGTGAAGTTGGTTAGAGGTGTTACAGGTCCTGTCCAATGCTTGGGATAGCTTGTATATGTGGTATGGAGTGTGTATGAACTGGTTTTAGCAAGAATGCACGAGTGGATTGAGCTATGGAAGTCCAACTGCAGAGGTGACTCTGTTTTCTGCAGTAGGATGGTGTTTTGAGGTTTGATGAGGTTTTGAAGGTGTTTTGCTTGTGCCTTAGCTTAGGTTTGATGTTTGGGAGGTGTACAACAAGTTTGTCTTAGCTTGTGTTGGCAGAAATGAGAGTTGTTGTGTGTTATGCCAAGTTTCTTCACACTTAAGCAAAAAATGTCAACTTGGTTTCTAGACTTGCGCAGGCCCCTCAAGATGTGCTGCAACCATCCCTCTTGATCAGTGTGATATGCTTCTGACCTTGTGCCAAAGAGATTTGCCTTGTACTTCTTGATTTGCAAATTTGACATAAAGTTTAACTTTTCAAAAATGGATATATTGCTTTTTCTAATTATGGCTCAATCTTGTATGCAATGTTTAAACACATAAGATAAGGCTTGAACACAAGGGGTTTGCATTAAATTATTGAGTGTGGATGAGATAAAAGGCCTGTAATCTAGCTTAGAGCATGCTGAGTTCAAAAATCTAAAGTTATGGACATGTAAATTGGCCATGAACAAAGTGAGTTTTACCCATATTGCCAAATTCGATTCTTCCTAACCACAAGGTTGTTTGATGAGTTCTTGGACATTTTGGAAAGCTTGGAATGTTTAATACAATCCATATTTGTAATTCAAATTGAAATTCCAAGTGGAAGCATGTGAAAAGTAGCCATGAAGTTAGGCAAAAATCCTGCCTAAAATAGGTCAAAATTTTTCTAAGTTAAGAATGTTTTGCACCCTTGTTTAAAAAATCATAACTTGAGTTACAAGATTCTTTTGAGGAAACTTTGTGAATCAAAGTTGTAGATTTTGAAATGGACTATAACTTTCATGTTTTTAGTTTTCCTTGAATCCAAATGTATCTTGATGAAAAAGTGGGACAAAATTAGGAAAAAATTAGGGATTTTCATAACTTAGAAAAATTCTAGGTTATGAAAATTCTTCATTTTAAACCCTAATTTGCAATTTTGGGTTTCTTGATGAACAAGTTTCATATTTTGGCATGTTTTGATGGAAAATGGATCTTGACACTTGATTTTGTCCAAAAAGTCAAAGTTTGACTTTTCAGTATACAGTCAAAAAATTGATCAATTGACTGGAAAATTCAACTGTCAACCTTATGCATTTGGGATCTTTTGAACTTGTTGAACATGTCAAAATAATTCCATGGGGTCCTTGAGTCCATATATGAGCTTGGTTTGCCATTGGCTAGGTCAAACAGTCAAAAATTGCCTTTGTGCAGTCAAAACCCTAAAAATGACCATTTTGCCCTTTTGGTGATCTGATCAAATTTCTTGTGGAATTGTGATCCAAACTTGACCAAATGGTTCATATGAGTTCATAATGTTGATGTGGGTCAAAAATCATGAGGTTTGACTGTCAATTGACCACAGTTGACTTTTCCCCAATACAGCTGATTTCTAGGTCAAATGTCCAATTGACTGGGCAAAGATTGGAATCAAGGCTTGAAACTTGGTATGGATAAACTTGGGAGTCCAATATGAAGCATGAAAGTCATCTTAGGCATTCTAGGTCAAAACATCTTTGTGCAAACACAAACCCTAATTTGGGTCAACAGTGCGAGGAGAAGTCTTGAGTAGAGGAAACCCTAACTGGATCTTGAGTTCCAAGCGTCTTGTGGTGAGAAAATGTTGAGGAAATGGGAGGGCAAATTTTGGGGTACAACACTTATCAATTGTAGTCCCTCAAAAGATTTGATAGTAAGAAGATGATTAAGACAAGGTGACTCTTTATCACCCTTTCTGTTTTCAATTGTGGCAGAGGTTCTAGAAAGTATAGCCAAAAAGTAGAACATATAGGAGACTTTTGAGACTTCAGAGTCAATATTCATCGGTCATATAGCCTCTTACAATTTGTTAATGACACAATTCTAGTAGGAGAATGTGGCTGAAACAACCTATGGGAAATCAAGACTATAATAAGGGTTATGAGATGGTTTTTGTTTTGATAATAAATATTTAAGAGTTAAATGTTTGAGATTGGGATTAGATTTCAATTCTTGCAGGCTGTATATCACTTTTTATCATACAATATAAATAATATTCCCTTCAAGTTTCTTAGAATCTTAGTAGGTCAAACCTTAAAAGAGGTGAAACTTGAAAGCCTACTACATATATATATATATATATATATATATATATATATATATATATATATATATATATATATATATATATATATATATATATATATATATATATATATATATATATATATATATATATATATATATATATATATATATATATATATATATATATAGACTAGCTGGAAGAGTATGTTCCTTTCAATTGGTGGCAGGGTAACCCTGATAAATTTAGTACTAAGCAATCTTTTTGTTTATCATCTTTCATTTTACAAAGTACATGTGAGTGTTAGAAATTAAATAATTAGGATCCAAGGAACTTTTGTGGTATGGCACTAATGAAAAAAGATAGATCAATTGGGTCAGCTGGAAAGGGGTATGTGGGTTGAGAGTAAAGGACATTGAAGCATTCAATAAAGCTCTACTATACAAATGACTATGAAGGTTTATCAAAGAGGAAAAAGCTATTTGGATGGGGATCCTACAACATAGGTATGATGACTTGAAAAGAATAATATGGATAAAGGAAGAGCAAAGACAAAAAGTGACTGAATTACTTTGGTGGATGGATCTAATCAAGGTAGGAAGTTGTATAGACCAAGCTGAAAAGGGTTTTGGTGCATTCATAACTTCCAGGCCTGGAATGGGCAGGGGTATTCCATTTGACTAGTTCACACCCCATTGCCAGTTATGTTTCCATAATTTTATAGGCTATCTAAAATTCCTAAAAGGAGATTGTACCATATGGGGATTTAGTCAGAAGGTTCATGGAAGTGGAACCTAAACTAGACTGGAAATGAATTTGAGAGCCAAATTGATGAGGAAATAGATGAACTGGTCAAACTGTTAGATGAAGTATAACCAAAACTTGAAGTAAAGGATGTTTTTGTATGAGCCTTTAGTCCTGATAAAACTTTCACAGTAAAATCATGTTATGAGAAACTTATGTAGGAAAAATCAGATGTTGGAAATGATGAAATTTTGGAACATGTGATGAAGAAGGTTTGGAAAGCTAAGGTTCCATCAAAGGTGAAGTTATTCTACTAGAGACTCTTCTTGGATAGACTGCCTACAAGGTCACAACTATTCAAAAGTGGTATTTTACTCAGAGAGCATGACATCGTTTGTGCATTTTGCTTCAACCAGGAGGAAAACATTGCCCATATGATGTTTTAGTGTGACAATTCCAAACTCATATGGCAGCAAATTAGTCTATGGCTTGAAACCGAACTAGCAGAAGAAGATTGCGGTATAGAGAATTTCCTAAGACCATTTAGTCTTCTCAATGGTAAGGTAGAAAAGAACAAGGAAGGATTAATTTGGATGACTTCCTGTTGGTGTATTTGAAATAAAAGAAATGTAATTATGTTTAAAGATGAGATAAGAGATGTAAATGAGGTAGTCTTTAATATCAAATTATGTTCTTGAATTTGACTTTTAATAGGTTTCAAACGTAAACTAAAATATAATTTTTATGAATGGTGCAAGCGTACTCTCTTAAATTGTCTAATCTTTATATATAAATAGTTCTTACACAAAAAGGTTAGAGTACCCTTAATACTATTGTGAATATACAATTTACTTATAAAAAATATTATAAAGTGGTAAAACTTTGTCGATAAGTAATACACAAATTTTTTTGTGAGTATTATTTCAATTTTGAAATATAACTTTTAGTAACATTGAAGATAGAATATAGATAAATCATAACATTTGAAAGAGGCCAACATTTGACATATTTCATGTCTAAATTGTATAATACTTTTTAAAAAAAATAGACAATACTAAGACTTAAAAAGTATTTATCTTTAAAATATGATTTCGGACCATAATTAAAATCTATTAAAACCTACTTAATCCATCTACTTAAATAAATATAAATAATTTATTTTTATATATTGTCTTATTATATAATATAATTAAATAAACTTTTATACAATATTTCAATTTGAAAATTTTCAAAATTTAATTAAAATTATCGGTTTAATAATTCTCGTGTAATTAAAAATTGACGCTAACAGATTACCAACCTATCTTACTTGTACTTACTAAAAATATCACTAATGCAAATAACTAATACACCAGAGGGACAAGAAAGCAGAATATTAAGTGGCAAAGGAAACGAACAATCTAGAAATTAAAATAAACTGCAAAAAGATATAATTTGCACAATTATAGATTCTTGTCTTGCCCCAAAATGAAAGCTAAGAATACCTTACAATCATCAACATAACCACTATTCCAAAATTCTAACACTCCCTAATCTTCCTCTAATTTCTTTTTCTTTTTGTCCCCCAACCATAACATAATTTTAATCACACCCAATAGTATGAAAACAGTAACATAATGAGTTTCAACCACACTAAACTTTGGTCGTATTTTCCCAATGAAGCAGAAGAACCAACAGATCTGTTACATAAAACAACAATTACTATTATTAATATAAATTATACAATAAAACTTTTGTAAGGTTCTTTCAGTTTCGGTAAATTAGTATTGTACATACCCAGGTGAAGTATAGACACAATTTTCATAACCTGAAAAGAAAAAGTGAAAACACAAACGGTTGAGTATCATGTACTGAAATTTCACATAACTGGAATTAAAGTTATGAGAAGATGATAAAGTGTCCATTAGTACTATGCACTTAATTTTCAGAATGCACCCCACAAGAATTATGCTTTCTCTTCTGAGCTTCCCGCCAAGTGTCTAATAATCAGACGCATTTAATCTTAGAGGTGTCATACAAGCGTCTGATAGTACAACACACTTAATCTTTTAGATGTTATGCAGCCATATAAGTGTCGGATACTGTGACAAACTTAATCTTACAGATATCATACATGTGTATGATATGAGACATCTGGGGATGACAAATGGACATGTCTGTCCCACAAAATTTCGTAGAAAAATAAAGCGGAGCGACATTATTGAGGGTGCAGGATTAAAATATAAGTTGTATTTACGAAAAATGAGAGTCATAGACACCGTACATTTTTAACTTAAAAATTACAAAAATATATGTTAATGTCTACACTCGCAAAAAAATATAGTGGGATGAAACCTATATCATATATAGTGTAGACCTAACTATAAAAATATAAGTATAAAACGTGCATGTAAAGCTAACCCAGTCCGTTTTGCCACCTCTAACCACGCGCTTAATCATAAAAGTGTTGATGCATCATAAGGGATTAGACTCCCCGGCAAATCAAAGTTTGAAATCAACTTACTAGGGTTCTGTTTTGTCAACGAAGCTGTTCCTCCAAAATTGCAAGCAATATCCGAATTCCCATTAGTTTGATAATAGCTATTAAAAGCAAAAGAAGCATGAGAAACAAGCGTGTCCGGTTGAAAACAAGGTCCATCTTTCTGTATAGCTTTACAATCCGCCATTCCAAGTCCACAAGCCCAATCTAGAGCATTCTGTAAGTCAGCTTGTGAAACACCAGCAAGCGCCACACACCATGTTGTTCCATCAATGAATGTCGTGTTTCCTTCTGGTGGTGCTGTCACTGTTCCCACCGGTACCGGAATCACTGCATCAGATTTCTCTTGCACCACTATTCCCCTACCCATGCCTACAGAAAAAAAAAAACACTACTCAAGAACACAATCTAAAAAAATACAACGAAAAAATAGAAAGAAAAAAAAAAAAGAAAACTAACCAAGATAACAACATTCCATGAAAGCAAGGAAGAGAAAAAACCATAGTTTCTTTCTCATGATTTCAGGTTGAAGTGATACAAAAAAAATGTTATTTATAACTTAAAAATATTCCAAACTTCTAAATAGCGCTATGATGACTGTGAATGAGTGTCACACTGTGTAGTAAAAAAGCATTTATTAGTGACAATGGAATCACTAGTTACTTGAAGGAAGTATTTATTTTTCCTTTTTCACTTTTTGGTGATTTTATTTTATTTTGTGATGGAGAAGAACAATGTATGCTTAGTGAAGCAAGTAGTACTATTTCTGGCAGAGTGTAGCAGTTTATTCATTTTTAGCTTTTTGGCGCTCAACAAGCTAAATAAGGTGGTGGTAGTGTCCACCATGTAAAAGATAAACATTATTTTTTTTTTTACCAATTTTATTTTTCAATAAAAGTATGTAAAGTAGTTTACATATTTAACACCTTCTTTTTTTCACTTTTTATATTTTATATCATCTTTTTCTTTTTTTCCACTTAATAATTCAATATCCATTTAACTTTTATTTACTACAATAATTTTATTTAATAAAATTTAACACCTACCACACCATTTTTATTTCATTTTTTTATTTTTTAAAATATTTTTTTAATAAATTCGATTTTTTTTGTCAAAATTAAATGAACCAAGTTTCTATTTATAGACAAAAAAATTGTGAATTTTGGTAGAAATAAAAATAAATAAATAATTGATTTACTATAAAATAATTGAACCCAAATAATTAACATGAGATAAAAATCTAATCATTCACAATAATCAATAAGATTTCACAAAGTATTTTATATGGTCTCACTCCTTCTTTATTCAACATATTGAATATTTTCAACATCAATTATTCTACTTCACTTTCAACACTTCATTCAACATCCTATTACAAGCATTCAACTATTCAATAATTTTTTCAACACCCACATTTTAAGTAGTCTAACATTCTAGTTTCCATTAGAAATGAACATAGACTCTTAGTGGTCCCGCATAATTCACCAAAATTAGTTTTAACTCTATTGGATTTTAAAGAGAAATAGAAACAAATAATATTTATATATTTAAATGTCTTTTTATTCTTTTATATAAAATAAATAAATTTTAGTCCTCCATTTTAAAATCAGTTTTTTATTTATATTGTTAATTTTTTCTTTGATTCTGCCCCATTTTAAGATTTATTCCACACTTAATAAAGAATGAATGAGAGATTGAAGATGATCATCGTATAAGGATTTACAATATGGTGGTAGAGATCTTTAGTGATCTGATAGGATGGTACATGCAAGATTAATACGCTAACGTTCAAGTCAGTATATGAAAGATGTGCAATTATGTAAACGTGAATGAAAAGTATATTTGTGCATGACTCAGAGTCACACTTACATAAGGATGAAGGTTAAAACATTCCCCGATTGATCAAATGTCAAATGGAGATAATAGATGGATATGGATCATAAGTGAAGACAAGCACATGAGGCACACTCAAAGGTCCAAAATTAAAGATCACACGTTTGTTAGTTAGTGGAAATATTTCGTTGGATTGAACCAGTCCGAATAATTGTCCCCTAAGTCCTTGCCATCACTGATGGAATGAGAAATATTGAAATAAAAGTTTTGAGACCGGTGTAGCGAATGTTTTGTTTAGGAAGTAAGTATATTGAGAATATGTCTTAAGGAAGAAAATGAGCTTCGTTGTGGCGCTGAGTGTGCGTGTGTCACATTTGGAATATGTAGTTTAATGCATATCATGTAGTCGAACCGATGCCTCGGGGAAGGTCACCATTGCGGATCCACGTGTTTATAAATATAGTCAAAAAGTGATCCAAGATGGAAAAGCTTATGAACATAAAAGCACTACAAGTCAACTAGTAGTTGCTTAGTTTTGATGATGACAATACTTGAAGTCAAGCAACTGTTGAAGATAGCTCAATCATTCAAAGATGCACAAGATGATTGATCAAGGTATCATCTTGAGTTAAGCTATGCTTTGAATATATTCTTAAAGATCAAGTCAACATTGTAGTCTAACAAATTTCAAGTAAAGACTTAGGTTTCAAGGATCACCAGTGATTGAACTTCTCCAATATCAGATGATGACAATTAACATGAAGTATCACAAGCCTCATCAAGAAAATTAAAGGTTTTTGTGTGATGTTAAAATAAAAAATAATGATATCAAGACTTGAAGCTTCAGAGTTTTGAAAGAGAGGAAATGTGAAAGCTCGTCTAGTCATGTCGCGACCAGTGTCTTGTAAAGACACAAGGGTATTTATGGCAACATTATGGCTAAATCACTCAAACACTAAAAATTTTTGATAAGTCTCTAATATTTTAATTAAATCATTAAAAAAAATGTTTTTAATACTTAGTCAGTTGATTAGGAGAGGTCTTATTGATTGCAAGACATTTTCTAACTGATTGATCAATTAGATCTTTTGCCTAATTGATTAAATCATGATTGGTTGAGTCTAAAATATATTGGGACAATCTCTTAATGGTTGGTAACGACTATATATCAAAACCTTTCATTTAAGGCCTTAACAAATGATTATTTATAGGGCCTAATTGATTATGACATTCATCAGGCCCGTGAATTATTTCCAAATTTATACTACGCCTTGGCTTATAAGTAAAGAGCTTGTTTATCACTTTTTCACATCTATAAGACGTGTAAAAACTCACTTTTTATTTCTCTAATTTTTGTCACATATTTTAGCCATAGTGCTTCAATAGTGTTCTTGAGTATTTATGAGGATATACTTGTTCCGAGTGATGGAAAAGTTGTAAATTTACCAAGAGTGTATTTTTCTCTTATGTAAATAATTCTTCCATAGGAAGTAGTTATTTCGGTTGCATGCTAAACCAGTTAAAAGCTCTTGTATTTTTAGAGGATTATATTAGACAATCTCTGTTTAGTTCATGAGCTTCACCTTAGAGAGAAAACTCTCTTTTGGTTCATGAAAACCATCTAGTAAATATCTCCACATCGGTTCTTGAATTTAGCCCGATTAAAATCTCCATTAGTTCGAGATCAGCCCGGTTAAAATCTCTTTAGATTTCTAAGTTCAGCATGATGTAAAATCTCAATAGGTATGAGATCAGCCTGATAAAAATCCCAATTCGGATTATGGTCAGCTTGTGTTAAACCTCAATTCAGTTTGGATGATAGCCAACCCAAAACTTTATCTTAATTCAAGATCATCATGTGGAAAATATATGTTTGATTTAGAAACTAACCGCTCTAAGCCTTGTTCGTTGTTTCGTTAAAAGTTATTCTGAAAATTTCATTTTCTTGTATAAGAAGGTTAATGGCAACATTCTTCTAAAAGCTCTCAAGTTTAGTGGATACTCTCAAGAATAATTCTTGAGGACAAGAGTAGGTCACCTTAAGGAAAAACCTGTATAATTCTCTAGTGTCATTTATCTTCCATTATCTCTTTTAATTTTCAGTAATTTTATTTCCTTTGGTTTTCCAGTATTGATTTATTCATTTGTTTTATTAAATGTTTTCAAAGTCTGATTTTACAAATGATTTTGTTTTAAGTTAATTTTTTTAAACCTCCACAATTCACCCCCCCCCCCCCCCCCTTTGTATGGAATCCCATATTCAAAAAGTGACATCAAAGTCTAACTCATGTTTAAAGACTAATCATCTCAGAAGGAAGATGACTTTCATCACTTCTTTTAGCAAGAGGACTTTCCTAAACACACCTACATTGTTTAATGGTGATATGTTTGAATTGTTGAAAGTTAGATTTAAATATTTCATTCAAAGTTTTGATCTTGAATTAATGGAAACGAAAATCAATGTTTTTTTTATCCTTACTCATTGTGTTGATGGTGAAGTAGTAGATAAACTGAATTTCCTTTGGACAGTAGAAGACAAGAGAAAGTTTGAAATTCATTTCAAAGTTAAAAAAACTTTTAGTTACGTCTTTAAATGAAGGTCAATTTCTTTATTTCTTTAATCATAATTCATCTAAGGAAATACAATACATTTTTAAAATGATCTATGGGGTATCGTCGGGTATCGAACAATTGAGAATGAACACATGAGATAAAGAAGTTAAAACACTAGATAAATGTGAAATTTAATTTCATGGAGGGTGTTCAAACTTTAGAAATATTGGAAGGCATGTTAGAATTTTATTCGCTAACAAATATTTAAGATATAAGAATTGGACTCAGAAACTTGAACCAATCCTTAAATCGAAAGAAGAGAATGTTTATAATTTTCAAGAAAAATTCAAGAAGGAAAAAAATCATCAAGAAACTTAATAAGTTGATTCAATTGTTAAAATATGAATGGATAATATCAAACCTAGATGAATCTCTAACAACTTAATCAAATAACTCTATTCAAGAAGAAAAGTCAACTTCAATAGTCTCCTTTGAAAGAACAATCTCAGTAAACGAACGATCCTTAAAAGATTCAACATCCAATGGATAAACTTCATCGAGAAAAGAATATGAAGAAAAATAAGTTTCATCCAATGGAATCTTCAAAAGAAGAAACAAGAAAGAAGTCTCAATGAGCAATATCTTTAAAGACTCAAGATCAATGAGAGATCTTAAAGAAAAACCTCTAGTAGAATCTTTGAAGAATATTCTTTCAACAAAAAAGATAAACAAGTTTACTTGAAAGCTTATTATAAAGGTGATAAACAAGATTCTTACAAAAAATATAAACAAGTTTACTTGAAATCTTCTTACAAAGGTGATAATTGTGAGATAACCACTCTTTCATACAACCAATTGTTTAAATTAAATGCTAAGTTAATATAGGAACATGATAAAATTGAAAGCCTAACTTATATCTTAAATACTAAATTGAGTTTCTAGAGAATAACAATGAAACACTAAGATATGAAATGGATAATCTTAGAAACAAAACTAGTAAATGTGAGACTCGTGTAACGCCAGATAATTTAATTAATTATTTAATTAAATTATTTTCGAATTATTTGTTGAAATGTGTGAGATGTTTCTATATGTTGCTAAGTTGTTATTTAGTTGATTATTTTGTAGAAT